ATTGTTGATATTTGCCATTGTGAATTTGAAAATCTTTCAGTGCTTTAAGATTTTTTTCCATTGAGGTTGTTGGTAATATTTATTATTCTGAGGTTTTTGTGTGTGTGTGTGTGTTACATATTTAGAAGTCTTGCAGAACTAGGAAACCAGAATCTTCCAAGCAACCAAAGCATGACACATGGGTACCATTTTAGAGTGCAAGCAAAACCAACAAACATTCTGTAGATGTGTTCACAGATTCCACACTGCAAATGATGTTTAAGGAGCAGCCAGTTGTCAGATTCTGATAAGACACAAAAGAAGAATTTCTCCACTTTCCGAAAAGAAAACCGAAAGCGGTTTAAATGCTCCACCCATCCTCATCTTCCTGTATGTGTGAAGCTCGATCACCACTCCCTTCAGAGTAATGTTTGCCATAGACTGAGCCGGAAGAGCATCTGCTATGGAGAGCCAGGCATCGAAGAGACCTATGGAACTTCTCTTCAGAACACGACCCCTTTCCCTAGTCGCTTTCTTAGAGAAAGAAGGTTTTTGGTAAACAAGTCATGGGATTTTTGTTTATATTTTAAGTCTCTGTGTCATGCAGTTGTATATTTAGCGTTTCACAGTTTCACCTTCAAATATAGTAAACATTGATACATGTATCTAACATAGCCACACACTCTTGGGTGTCCTTAATGAAGTGTATTTTTTAAAACGCTTTATAAAAGAAATCTTTGTTGGAGAGATATCTCAGCAGTTAAAAGCACTGGCTGCCCTTCCAGAGGACCTGAGTTCAATTCCCAGCATCCACATAGGGGCTCACAACCATCTGTAACTCCAGTTCCAGGGCACTTGACGCCCTCTTCTGGTTCCTGTGAGTTCTGCACAAATGTGCTACATAGACATACATACACATAGGCAAAACACCCACAGATCTTTTTTAAGAGAATGTGTGTGTGTGTGTGTGTGTGTTTACGTTGTGAATGAAGATACATATGTGCCAACACTATATGAGGAAGTCAGAGAACATCAGGTGTTGATCCTTGCTATACACTGGTTTCAACAAGTTTTTTCTTGTTGTTTCTGGTAGCATATGCCTGATTAGCTGGCTCTTGAACTTCTGGAGAGTCTCCATTCTGCCTTCTACCAAAGGCAGCCAAAGGAGTGCAGGGATTATCATCTTACATTGCTGTGTCTAGCTTTATATGGGTTCTGGAGATCCAAACTCAGGGCCTTACACTTGCGTGCCAAGTACTTTACACACTGAGTGGTCTCCCCAACTCTCTTTTTAATATTTTATTTATATGTTAATCAGACATATAGGGTCAATATAGCATCTTCATGCATGTATATAATACATTTCTCAGTAACATTTAAATGTCTAGAGCAGTGGTTCTCAACTTGTGGGTCATGATCCCTTTAAGGGTCAAGCAACTCTTTCATGGGAGTTGCCTAAGACCATTAGAAAACACAGACATTATGATTCATAACTAACAAAATTACAGCTATGAAGTAGCAACAGAAACAATTTTTATGGTTTGGGATCACCACAAGATCAGGAACTGTATTAAAGGGTCGCATCATTAAAAAGGTTGAGAAGTACTGGTCTACAGGGTCACACAATTTTTTTTTTTTTTTCTGCAGAGAAAGGAGCCAGTATATGGGGTGGAAGACCACAAGGAGAGAATTAAGCCATGAAATGAGAAACATTCCCTCTACCATAGTTTCCCAATTTGGAATTGCAGCAGTGTGGCCATTACAAGGCAGCCCTTTGTGAGTCATGGTACTAAGTAATTCTGTTTAATGCCTTCCCTGGGTTATCTGTCAATGTGCCTTTTTTTGCAAAACAATTAGGCAAAGACTGGATGTTTGACCCACAAAAACATGCCCCAGAAACCAGAAACCTGCAGATACTTATGTTCTCCTCTTGAAGTGGGCAGGATTATCCCTCCCAGCCATGACTCTTCATCTTCCATGGGACTGTCTGCTATGGGTTAATTGTTTTGGGGTGATGTCATCCCTGGTTCTCCAGGAAGCAGTTGGCCACGTGTCCAGGTACAGTCTGGCCCCTCTGCAGCAGCCAGGTAGTGATGGGGGAGGGAAAACGCTCAACAGTTTCTCTCCCAGCAGATCGGTGGTGCTGCCGCAGTCAACTGAGGGGGCAGGGTTACTGATTATCAGTTTTCCCCCTGCTTTTTCTACTTCATAACAACTGCTCACCATGTTCTCATATCCTCCCAAATGGGAAGTTACTCAAATTACCTACTTCTCCCAATCCTAACTAACCTCAGAAAAAGAAGAGAATATTCAGTGTTCAACCAAGTCTAGGGCTGGTGAGATGACCGTGAATAAAGGCAATCGCAGTGCAAGCCTAGCAACTAGAATTGGATCCCTGGAACCCATATAAAGGTGAAAGGAGGGAGCAAATGCTATAAAGTTGCCTTCTGATCTCTATACATGTGCTGGGGCATGTGCACCCACACACACACATACAATAAGATAATAATAATAAATAATAAAATAGGGTAGGTATGATGGCTTAACACTTAAAAAAGGGTTTTTCAGCTCCCAAAACCCACATGATGACTCAAACCATCCGTGACTCCAGAGCCTGAGTTCCAGGGGATCTGACACCTTCTTCTGACTTCCTCGGGCACACACACACCCAATGTACATACAAACGTGAAGGCAATGAATTCAAACAGGTAAAATAAAATAAATAAACAAATCTCAAAAAATAAAAGTAAAATATCCATTTTATTAGGAATAGCTTTTCAATCTTCATTCATTCATTTCTCCTGATAATTGAAACGCATGGTTTAATTAAAACTTTAAATGTGCAGATATATACATATATACTAATTTTGATATATTGGCGAGGTTTTTTTAGGGGTTGTTTTGTTTTTGTTTGTTGGGCTTTTTGTGGTTGGTTGTGTGTGTGTGTGTGTGTGTCATAGTAGTACACACGTATAGATGAGACTATTTTCTCCTTTCACCATGTGGGTCCTGGTGATCTGAAGTCAGGTCATTAGGCTGACCAGGAAGTGCCTTTACCCATTGCACCATCTCCTCCAAATTGTGTTTGTCAACTATTTTGTTATAGCAACAAGATGAAAAACTAATACGGAAAATCAGTATCAGAAAGTAGAGAACATGAATTTCAGCCTAGAAACAAATAATGGTAATGTCTCAACACCTCTAAATCAACTTTTATTCTAGTCGAGCTCATATTCAATACAAAAAGAAAAAAAATGTACCCTGGGGGGCCCTAACTAGTACCTCATTCCCGTACCACCAAACATTTAGGAATGTGGAGGAGAGTGGGCTCTGACCACTAATGGAGTGGTGGTCCACACAGTGGCTTCTAAGATGCCCATCATCTTATTTCTTCCATTACACACCGGGGTCCTATAGCCACCCCATGTCTAGATACTGCTGTCCTGGGGCTCATCTTGGTGTGAGGAAGAAGTAGGTTGCCTTCTTTCTTCTTCCCACACATTTAAGGTCTAGGTTTTGTGGGATCCTTTGAGAAAGAAAACCATTTGGCAGATAGGCCACTCCTATTCTCTCCTGAAGACAAACTCCCTCCAGACCAAAAACAAACAAACAAACAAACAAACAAACAAACAAATAAAAAACAAGCAAAGCTGTCATCTTCCTGAATAAAGAAAGTGTTTGCCTTGGCATTACAAGTACTAGCGTGGGGGAGGGAACAATTAACAGCCAAACAGTGGTCTGGCATATTCTCTCAATAACTCTGGATCCTCATAAGTATAGCATCTTCTCTATGCACAGTCCTGGCCCCGTCCCTGCCTGTCCAGTAACAAAACAAAGGGTCAGCTCTGTGTTTCTCTCCCAAATGGGATTTGGTTGAGCTCTTTTCCTTGGGGAGAACATTTCCCTAGCCTCCACTCAGACTCCAGAAGGCAAGGGAGCTGGGGTCCTTCTTGACTATGCTGCCTCCTGGAGATTCTCCCACCTGCTCTGGCTCCATTGCATCCAGAGCTTACACAAGGGCTTGATGAAAGCTTCCAGGGGTGCTGTGATCAGAGGAGAGAGGAGGCATTCCTTTCCGAGTCCTGCAAAGTTCCCTGATTTCTCCTGCCGGCCTCCCCTTCATTCACTAGACAGCAGTCAGGATGACTGCCCTTTCTTCTCTCTCCCACCGTGCCCTCCCCTTCCCTAGGTCACTTCCAAGAGTCTGCTGTAGAAGAGTTGTCTTTGACCATGAACCACCACTACCTTCTATCCTTTTATTTCTTTTGTAGCATGTGTCAAAACTACGCAGGGACCTTGTTTGGGCTAATCTGCTAGCTTTCTTACAACTCAGGCAGTTTGAACACGGCCAGGACTCTATGCTGTCTTCATTCTCTGTCCGTACCTTCTAGCAGCTGGTACACACATGAAGCACTCCATAAACAACTGGAGTGAGTGAGTGAGTGAGTGAGTGAGTGAGTGAGTGAGTGGAGGAAATTCTTCTCCACTCATGTCATTCATTTATAAAGACAAGAGAACCCTGCTTTTACCTGAGGAAAAAACACCATTCCTGTCTGCAACCTCAAGGAAATTACTAGGTTTGGAAATGAAAGACAAATAACATACAGACAACTTCTACTTTTCATCTACAGAAAACTTCAGCTCTTTAGTAGAAAGGGAAATGGTTGTTATTGAGAGTTGAGTAGAAGTTTGGGTTGGGTGGCAGGTGCAAATTTGAGAAAACAAAAGGGAAATAGGAAACACAAAGCCAGAAGACGAGGTCAGATTTTTCAAAAGGTTTTTCCCTACACCTGGATGGAAAGTGTTGCCGTGGCTGCTGCAGGCCCTAATGGTGTTGTACAGGGAAAACTGCCTTTCACACACAAAAGCTGGCATCAGCTAAATTAGCAGGCCAGCCTGGTTGCTGGCTCTTGGACTCTTGTCTAAACAGGACCTGGCCTTCAGGCAACCACAGGGGCGGGGGTGTCTCCGGATGGCAGCCCAATCCTGCCAGACCAACGATGGGGGAGGACCCTGCTCCTTCTTAAGCTCCAGCCAGTCAAGCCAGGGCTAGAAAGCCAGACAGACAGCCGCCCCTTGAAGTCTCCACCTGTCTTTACAGAGCCGAGAAGAGGAGCCCAGCCTGCAGTTAGTGCTTAGGAGCAGAGACCAGCCTAGCCACCTCTGCCACATCACCCACTACCTGCCAGCATGGCCAACCAGCTGACTGAGGAGCAAATCGCTGAGTTCAAGGAGGCCTTCTCTCTGTTTGACAAGGATGGGGATGGTTGCATCACTACCCAGGAACTGGGCACTGTCATGCGGTCCCTGGGTCAGAACCCCACGGAGGCTGAGCTCCAGGGCATGGTGAATGAAATCGACAAGGATGGAAATGGCACTGTGGACTTCCCGGAGTTCCTGAGTATGATGTCCAGGAAGATGAAAGACACCGACAGCGAGGAGGAGATCCGGGAGGCCTTTCGAGTGTTCGACAAGGATGGCAACGGCTATGTCAGCGCCTCTGAGCTGAGGCATGTGATGACCAGGCTCGGGGAGAAGCTGAGTGACGAGGAGGTGGAGGAAATGATACAGGCAGCAGATACAGATGGTGATGGGCAAGTGAACTATGAGGAGTTTGTCCACATGCTAGTGTCCAAGTGAGGCTGCACTAGAGGCTGCTACAGCCAGATGCCCTGGAGGCTCCTGGGCTGCAAGCTTTGCTGGACAGCGGCTATGCTCACTGTGGTGGGAATCCTACTCAGGCCTTGGGTGTCTTTACCACTGGGCTCTGTTGCATCTCAGGCAAAGTGGACTACATCGACCAGTCTGCATTTTACTTTCTGCATCCTGCTTTTTCTGCCAGCTTCCCACCTGCTCACACCCCCTTGACAGGAAATGCCTCGGGCTGAGACAGGCATCAACTCCTCCCAGCCCTCAAGAGCTGAAGCAGAAGGGACCATCTTTGCGTGGACAATGAGCCAAAGGACCCATTCTCCTATTTTGTTTCTTACTTTTTCTTTTTTTCCTGTTTCCAACAGAAATGATCATTAACATCATGGTATAAAGCAGGCTAATCTCCGTGTGTGTGTGTGTGTGTGTGTGTGTGTGTGTGTGTGTGTGTGTGTCTGTAGGGGGTGTGGGTGTGGGTGGATGGGTGTGTGGGTGTAGGGGTCTAGAAAAACTGACCAGGTCTTCTTAGCCTAGTAGCATCTCAGAACTTCCTGGATAGGCTCCTATCAGGCATCCAGTGCGTGGCAGCAAGGTTTGCTGTAGCCATCAGTCCACATCATAGTTCCTGGAGCCTCTTAGAACAAAGACTTCATCTGCTGCTGGATTTGGAAAACATCTAGGCATTGGAATGAAGGGCAGTGATGGAGACTTCGATGACTGAGGTCAGGCTATCTGGAAAACATCACTTCCCTTCCGTGAAGAGCTGGCTTGTTCCTTTTTGTCTCCTCCAAACCTCTATGCTTTCCCTTTTATGCTTCTAACTAAAACACTGTAACTGTCATTTTGTTGTTTTGATTTGTGTAAATGCAATAAATTCCTGTATTGGTGCATATAGAAAAAGTTTGAGTTCAACAAATCTTTCAGTGTAATGGCCAAATTGGTACCAAAGAACAATTAGATATCTGTAAATGTCTGGACATAGAGAGCTTGCTGATAGAATGCTTGCCTAGTATGCATGAGGACCTAGGTCCTCAATAAACACCATGTAAACTGGGCATGGTATGTGGAGGCCCATAAAAGTGGCTCTGCTCCATCTTGACTTAAGGTCAGAGAGTTCAAGCCTATTATTGCTCCTTCAAGGTTAAATCCACAGTATGTCTGGCCTAAGGTGTGGCTATTATTGTATGCCTTACCTTGACAACAGGATATTTGGCCTAAAATGTAACTAATGAATGTCTTACCCAAACAACAGGATATTTGGTTTAGAGTGTGATTATTTGGTGTTTTGGGTGTTAAGGAGGAAATTATATTTGTTTGTTCCTTGTTTCATGGTTAAAAAAAAAGTCTTTTGCTTTCCCAGCTTTTGACTGAGGAATATAAAAACTTTGAGTGATAAACTTAGGACTGATCCTAGTGTTCATTAGGTCCCCACCGACTCTATCTCTGTCTCTTGACTGTTTCTTTCCTCAATCCACACTCCCCTTCTCAGATATGAATCAGACAAGTCAACAGGTCCCTACAGATTCCCTCTAATACAAGACTTCGATGATGGCTGTGTTTATCTGTGATGTCAGCACTCAGGAGGTAGAGGAAGCAGGATCAGAAGCTCAAGGATGTCCACAGGAGTTAGAGACCAACCTGTACTGGAAACCCCAATTTTAGAAAAAGGAAAAAGGTCAAGAAATATATATATATCTGCTAAAAGTTATTTACTCCTTTCTTCCTGTGGCCACTCTGGATATTGTCAAGTATCTGGTAGTTAGGAGGTTGGGAAGGGTTAGAGAGTTCAATGCAAGATGGCTCTAGCCAAGGTGCAAGAGTAATTCAGAGGCCACTAGTCTCTCCACACCAGTAATGCCCACAGGTTGTGTTGGGTTGTCCAGAGGCTGAAGGCCCCCCTCAGTCAACACTTGGAGTGCCAAGGGGAGTGGAAGCTTAATGTTTCATGAGGTGGACCCTAGACTAGGACTCATCAGAAATGTTGATATTCCTTGGTTCCCATCTTCCCCCTCTCCATTGAGTCTTTACCTATAAAATAGTGATGGTGGGCTCCACAGTGGAACAGCCAGGGGCTGCAACCCTGCCCTTCAATTATCTCCATGATTGTGCCCCTTCATGATATCTGGACCCACACACTGTCTTTGCTAAGTAAGAGGCACTCGGTCTGTATAGGAACTCACTACCATCCTATAGTGCAGCCACTATTCTTTGCTTCCTCATCTTACAACTGAGGAAACTGAGTGCATGTCTTAGGCTTGATCCCCCTCTTGGCTGGGCATGACCCTTAGCCTTCATTGTGATGACAGTAGTGGCCTTTCTCCACATGGGCAAGGATTATAAGAATAGTAACCTCTCTCTCTCTCTCTCTTCCTTTCTTTTTTTCATCTCTCTTCTTCCAACCCCCCTACCCCCTTCCCTCAGGGAAGCACTAGGGACATAGCATCCAGAGCCAGAGGTGATGGGTCACAAGCTCCCTGGGGTCACTGAAAGAGAAGAGCTGAGTCTGAGGTGTGGATGCAGATTCCAGAGCCATCTCCTGCAGGGGCAAACATGACTAGATCTCCAAATACCCTGTCAGGTATCTCCTACATTCTCCAGGTAAGTGAGAAGCAGAGGTCTCCAGTGGTCAGTCTTTATGTGCCCTATAGATAACCTGGCTGGGGTACTGACCTGGAATCCTGACACCCTGAGTTAGAAGTTATGTAAAATACTTACGAACACTGGGACCTACTCAGGCACCTAAGAGTTTTGCTAGGAGGGGCTCTTTTATGTTCCTGTGCCAGTTCCGGGCAACACAGCCAAAGCAACCCTTCTATTTGTGAACCACACACCGCCCTGAAACTACTCACTCATCCTTACGTTTTTCAGGCCTCAGAGCCTCTCATGTAGAACTCCTTTGTCAGGGCAGGAACTGGCAGGTAAAATATAAAGGCTCCTGCTTGCTCTCAGCCAAGAACCAACAGGCCCTGAGCTTCCCAGCAGGCGGATCCCTCAAAAGCAGAGTAGTAATTAAAACTGGGGGTTGGGGGGTTGTTTCCTCCTGTCCTGGAAGCTCTGAGGCATCAAGGTCAAGCTAGTCCTATGACAAGCTGACTGTGCCTGGTACTGCCCTGTTGGTATTTACTTTCCCAAGTATAATGTACTAAAACTGTTTTTGCAGCCTTCTGTCTTGGAGACTCGGGGTTATTTAGCAATAATCACCAGCTGCATGGACATATGGCTGGCCCCTCTTTCTAACTTGTTGAGTTTAGGATGAGAAATATTGATATATCTACATTTCCTGGGGAGATGTGACCAAAGTTTTCTAACTCCAGGTAGAGCACCAATGACAAACTAATTAACAATTTCACCCAAGCCTGGCTTGGTGAACCAATGAGGTTACTGGGCTGATCAGAGCATGGGGGAGGGATTACTTAAAGTAGCATGAGTGACCCCAACTTTCCAGGCACATCTCTGAAAGGTTGCATCCTAGCATGGATAACACTTCCCCATAGCTGCACAGGTGGAGGCCTTCTTCCTCTGTGGACTATGTGCATTGGGGCAGAATTACATACAGCTAGGAGAGCAAGAAAGAGCTGCTAAGATTTCAGATGAGGGTCTATTCACACACGCACGCACACACACACACACACACACACACACACACACACACACACACACGAGAGAGAGAGAGAGAGAGAGAGAGAGAGAGAGAGAGAGAGAGGAGAGAACCACCAGATCCAGTCTTGAGGGTGTCTTGCAGGCAGCAAGAGCTACTGTGATGGTTTGATGACTCTTGTTCTCAGAGGACAGCATTCCACACAGATAAAGGCCCAGGCTGCTGCTCTGGTCTGCCCCTCACGGAAAGAGTCTTGATATCTTGTGACTCCCCTGTACTGGCTGGTAGATCCTAAGCCTCTTACCAGGCCTGGGAACACCAATCTCTACAGCTAGGCATCAGCTACTCTGACTCAGTTTACCCAGAACAACATACCCATAACACAGTAACTTTATCATCTAGGCTACCCAAGGCACATCATCATCCTTCTCCCACAATTTCATCTTCTTTCCCCCTCGTCCTCCCCACCAAGGTTAGGACTCCCAAAGAATTGGTCCTGTCTAATTACATATACAGCAATGTGGGAAATGCTGTTTGTTTGTTTAAGGAAAGAAGACAACACAATTATTTCTTACTTAATTTACTACAGTATGATTATCATAATTGATAGTAGGATTTTGCTCACTGAGTAAAGACAAAAAGAAGTTAATGTCTGGAGCAGAAGGAAGGAACCACCACACCACACCAGTGTGCAAGGAGCAAGAGAGGTCCCAGGCCTGTTTTCTCCTTTGACAGACTCTGGAGCAGGTGCCATACCTCTAAGGTCCCCTTTCCTTCCAGACATTGAGTAATCATATTTAAACAACCTCCCTTCACCCCCCCAAAAAAGGTGCTATCTAACTCCAGCTTGGCAGAACATTCCATCTATCTTTAGCGGAAAGAATTTATAAATATTACCTCGACTTTCATGTGCTTTCACTGAGCTCTCTCATAAATCAGGACTTGAGGCTCCCACACTCCCAGATATATAAAGCTCGCCTTGGACTGCTGGCTTTCCAATTTTAAATCAAACACAGGCCAGCCTTGCTGGCTCCTGTTTATCCTTACAGATTCCAGAGGCCAGTTCAAAGTCTCTCAGAATCAGCCAGCTAAAAATGACCCATTGTTCCTGCTAGAGGCATGAAAACTCACATACTGGATGAAAGAGTTCTATGTAGAATGAACCAATGAGTGAAAAATTGATGTTTGTTTGCTCGTTGTAAGGAAGGGAGGGGAGGAAGATAGAAAAGAGAGAGGAAAGGCAAAATAAAACTGTACAAAATCTAAAACTGTTACTGAAAAAGGTTTGGGGCCCAACCCACATGTGGATTTCTCCATTGGCCTGCTTTTCTGATGATTGCTTCCATAGCAAGTCCTCAGCAAGGACTCTGAATTGGACAAGGGAAGGCAGGGCCTTGATCATGGAGCCACTACAGAAAGACTCCTCTAATCCACTCTCATGATGAAGTACATGTCTGGTTGACATGTGTTGGGTGTGGGGTAGGCTAGCTCAGCTTCCTGCATGGAAGAGAAGGGCCTTGAAGTGGACCTAGGAGTGATGACAGAACTTCCATAGTCAGAAGATTTATTGTGCAACAATCAATGTTTCCTACACAACTTCACCCAGAGGCCCAAAGAGCTGAAAATTAATTATCAGGTAGGCCCAGGATGTTTGAAAGCCCAGGCTGTACACCAGAGGGGCTGGTTGTCTAGGGAAGGGCTACGGAAATCCAACCACATGTAGCCCTAGCAGTCCACAGGTCCACAGTTTCCCATGATAGAAGCAGAGCTTTTATTGAAGTACACTGA